TCTCCGTTCTTAAAACTACATTTTATATTTGGTATATTAATTATATGAATCCATGTTTCATTATTTTTTTTGAAATCAATTTAAAAATCAAATACCATTTTTAAGAAAATAAATCCTGTGAGGTAGTGTAGAATTATTGAAATTTTGATTTAAGGATATTGGTGTATAGAGATGTGCCTGCTAAACATTCTATTACAGTTTTGACTTAATTCGACAGTTTTTTATTGAGTTATAGAAAGTTAAAGTTGAAAGTTGCAAAACCGCCAATTCGTTTTGTAGGTTATTACGTTTCTGGGATTCAAGAAGTTGACTTTTTTTACTTTTGAACCACCAAAGTTACAAAATCACGTATAATATTGTAGATAAAAAAAAACACACATCATAGGATTACCAGCTCGGTATCGATGCTAAAAAACAGCTTTGTAAATAAACTAACAACGTTGCTATAACGCTGAATGTATCCTTGGGCAAAATATCACCTAAAAATTATTCACAGAAAATTGAAACTCAGAAAAAATTAACCCCACAAATAACGTCCCCGAGCTCCTAAAATGATTACTTAAGTATTAATGACAAAGTGATCAACTCACAGATATTGAAAATATTGTCATCATATTGTTAATTACCATACATGGGTGTCTATCGAATCCAACCTAATATTAAAAAATAATTTTCAATCAAATAATAATTGTCATTAGTTACAAAGATTTTATCGATACTTGTATATGTATCTGTAAACACTGGACCTTATTTCTCTCTATTTTTGCCTTACTTTATCAAATGATGATATTCTTAACCTTTCTTACACATCAGCCCGAAATTAATTTTTTAATAAAAATTATTACTAGATCTTTAATTTTTGTTGTGGTTTGGTTAAACTTAAAATTTACTACCGTCAAAATTAATTTTCAGATTTTTTTCCCCTTAAGGAAAAAAGTTTGACCAATGTCAAATAATGTCCAATTCAGGGTAATGATTTCAACATGAACCACTGAATATTTCATAGGGTTTAATAAGAATGTGATCTCAACTGTTCATATTATTGTTTTTTACCCCTCACACTTAAAGAGTCAGTTTTAGGTTTATACTTTAATTTTAATAAGGGTTAAACGTTGTATACATAAAAACGATTTGTTTGTTAAACAAGTGTTTTGTGCTATAATTATATATTATATATAACAATTCACACCGTATGCATAGGTACTTGTTGTGTTATTATTCTGAATCACATAAAAACATGTTGTTGCAAACTCAATAGTATCACCATACATTTTTCAGTACTCATATACTTTATATATATACGTAAGTTATATTCCGCTTCAGATTAATGTAAACAAAATGAATCCCAGAAATAACGTCACCGAACTACTAGAATGGTTACTTAAGTATTACTGACAATGTGATTCACACTGTATGCATTGGTGCTTGTTGGTTTATTATTCTGAGTCACACAAAAACATATTGATGCAAAGTTACTGTTGATGCAAACTTAGTTATATTCCGCTTTAGATTAATGTAAATATCGAATGTTGCTTGTGTAAATAAATTCGCATAAACAATTTTGAAAAAAACATTTCTAGATTTTATTTTTTTGGACGACACAATAAAGGCCATTCGGCAAGTCGTAAGTAAACCTTTGCAGCAGCCGGTTTGACTATCGTTGCAGTTTTTTAAGTAAGTAATACAACCAAAATGTCAAATATGGTAAAACTGTAAACTTTTAATATGTTTTAATAAATTTTAATTATTTTTCCGTATAAGACCTTCGATAACATTTAATCAACTATTCCAAGTAATACTATCAGACTTCAAAAGCTGTAAGTACGCTTTCAAACAGAAATAGATGAATTTTAAACACATTTATCTAATAATAATACACAAAATTATAATTTATTCTTGTTATATTAAACATATAAATCCAAATTTCTTTAAATTTTTTTATTTTAAATCAGTTTTAAAACTAAATACCATTTTTTTAAAAAATCAATTCTGCAGGGAGTGCAGAATTATTTAAATTTGGATTTAAGGATACCTGAGAATAGGGACATGCCTGATAAACATTTTATTAAAATTTTGTCTTAATTCGATAGTTTTCCGCTATTTTATAGAAAGCTAACGTCAAAAGTTGAAAAACTAATAATTTTTTTTTTAGATTTTTATCGATTCTGTGCGTGATTTAGTAGACTTTTTCTACTATTGAACCAATCACATATAATTTCGAGTATCTTATAAAAATCGGGCCATAGAATAACATATTATCGTGTTTACAGTTAAAAAAACACACACCCTAGGAATACTAGCTCGGCATCGGTGCTAAAAAACTGTTTTTTAAATAAATCAACAACATTGCGCTGCAATATATGTTTTTATTTTACTGCATTGCCGAAATATGGCTAAACAAAATGTACTTAGAAGTTGAATATAGTTGTAATTTTAAATAAAAAAAACCATTTTTTCGTAGTTGCTTAGTTTATGATAAATTGTTTGAATAGATATAATAATTGTCATTTAAATACAAACATAATATGTATCTATATTTTAAATTTGTGTCCATGATGCAAAATTTTTGATTTTATATTTTTAAAATTTATTTCAAAGTTCAAGCTTTATTTTTACCTCATATTTTTTTAATTTATTAAAATATAAGTATAAATTTTGAAAAATAATAATATCAGAACAAATTACCTTTGGTTTGCATTTTTTCGAATAAATTTAGACTAAAATTAAATATATAAGCACAAGCCAATGTTCATATTCTGTGGTATCAATTATATGATAACACTAGTTAAAATTAGAATTAAAAAATAAATAATTACCATTATCAAAGTTATTAGAGTATCAAATAAAAGCCAGATCGTTAGATTTTTTATACTTTTGACCCAATCACATATAATTTCGAGTATCTAATGAAAATCAGGCCATAGAAAAACATAGTATCGTGTTTGCAGGTACAAAAAAAAACACACCATAGGAATACTAGTTTGGCGTCGGTGCTAAAAAACTGTTTTGTAAATAAACTAACAAAGATGCGCTGCAAAAAAAGTTTTTATTTTACTGTATTGCCAATATATGGATAAACAAAATGTACTTAGAACGTAGTTGTAATTTTAAAAAATTTACCATTTTTCGTAGTTTCTTGTTGCTTTGTTTATGGTAAAAGTTTTCATCCATACCGGGTAATCCATCTTATGTGAGATACATGTTATGTAGTTATTTATTTAAAACCATATTAAATTATTATAACAATTCTCTATGTGTTGAAAACTATAGTAGAATATATAAGCACCTAAAAATATAGGAAACATTTTTCATCCAAGTCTGCAATCACGAAAGAGTATCTTCATATCTCGTTGAAGTACCAAATATAATTTTATTAAAAATATAAGTACAAATTTTGAAAAATAATAATATCAGAACAAATTATCGACTGGTTTGCATTTTTTCGAATAAATGTAGACTAAAAGTAAATATATAAGCACAAGCCAATGTTGATATTCTGTGGTATCAATTATATATTAACACAAGTTAAAATTAGTATATAAAAAAAAAAAAATGATTACCATTATCAAAATTGTTAGTGTATCAAATAAAAGCCGGTTCGTTAGATTTTTGTACTTTTGACCCAATCACATATAATTTCGAGTATCTAATGAAAATCGGGCCATAGTCACACATGGTATCGTGTTTGCAGATACAAAAAAAAAACACACACCATAAGAATACTAGCTCGGCATCGATGTTAAAAACAGATTTGTAAATAAACTAACAACGTTGCGCTGCAAAATAATGTTTTTATTTTACTGTATTGCCGAAATATAGACAAACATAATGTTTTTGAAATTTAAATGAGCATTTATGATGAAACATTTTTTTAAAATTGTATCTTTAAAATACACCTCAAGTTTAAGCTATTTTTCATCTTGTACTTTTATTAATTTAAAATATAAATTTTCTAAGAACGTTTCATCCAAATATATTATTCTTTTTCGATTATATCATAAAAATGTTTGCTATAAAAGCATGGATTGAGAGTAACAAGCATTTTGCTTAGTCATGTTTTGCAATGGGAAATTTAGTGCAAAACGTATTCTTAAAAGATAACTATAAAAAAAAAACCATACATCTAAAATAATTTTAAAACCAAAACGAGAATGTTAATAATTGGCCTTAATCGGCAAAACATTCATTTGGTTTTTTTGAATCTATTTTACTATTTATTAAAGTTTGTTCGTTGTGAAAACAACACATAATTTAAAAAATTTAACATCCCCGCCACCATTGCCAGCCACATCCCAATCCCCATCCCCACCCTCATTAGAAGGATATATAAGGCTATAGAAGGATATATGTGTAACAACTGTGAATAAGTGTGTAAGTCGATTTCAGTGATTTTACAGGGAACCGATTTTAAACTTTGACCAGCTGCCATAAATCGCTACTTAATCAATAACTCACATCTCTCTTAAGGTTTACTTGTTGGTCCAACGAGGTAGACATTTATCCGAGGTGTGCTAAACGTCTCACCTAACCACTACGTTTTTTTCGTTATGATAACCGGAGTCGATTGTAAATGGTGTCGATTTTTCCGTGTATATGCTAAGACAAAAAAATGTCAATATCCCACTCAAGTAATTGAAATTAACTCAAATAATCCTAAAAGACATGAATTAGATAAATAACAAAAAACTATTTTTCGGTTAGGTTAAGTTATCTCTAGTCAAAAATCATAAAAAATGTATAAAACAAATTTTAAAACCAAAACTTTCTCATCACGACTACTACGGAAGACCCGAGCCTTATATCAATTGCTTTAAATTTATTAATTTTTCTAGATAAAAATGAAAATTTCCTATGTTTTAATATCACTAATCTGCGTAAATGTTTTGGCAGATATAAGTATAAGTAAGTATTTTATTTATACTTAAGCACACAACGTAGATTAAAATCTAAAAAAAAATAATATTTAACTATTCTTTACAGTGGAATATATAGAGATGGTTGAAATTTCAAGTGAGTTATATTTTATAATCATATAGACTAACTTTGAGAGTTTTTAAATTTCACTAATTTTACACATACCTATTTTTTTTAAAACATTTACTACAGACATACAAATCAAGAAAGCTTCTGACTATAAAGATGATCATATAAAAAGTAAGATAACAATCAATGTACTAATATATAATTGTATTACAATGATTGCCTAGGTGTCAAATTACTTGTAAATAAAATATAAATTTATTTTTATATTTAAGAGGATGCCGCCCATGCAATTTTTTGTTATAATAATACGAGTTTGGCTTTCATGATACAGCGCCTCCAAAAATTGTCGTAAAAAAAAGTTATCTTTATCACCTGAAAGTTATGAAACTTAACATTGTCTTTAATTTAAGATTTTGTAAAAAATTGCCAGCACAAAACTTTTTAATACATGGGCGGAGTGGCATCTTCAAAATGTGGTAGTTTTATATTTTTGATTGGATCTGTGCACTGTCGCATAGGGGCACGAGCCTTTACTAAAAGTTACTATAATTTACTAAGAGCACACTTGACTCTAAAAATTGATTATTTACTTAACAGGGGTAATTTTTTCTAATGATTTTTTTTTATTAATTTTAATTTTATTTGGAACTTTTCTAAAGGTCGAACTTGTATTTGATTGTTTTAGATGGATTGGAGCATGTACTTACAGTCATGATAGATAAAGATTACTATGGAACGCGTAATAATAATTATGTGATATTAAAATTCTTGTTTAAAGAAGAAATGTACCTATAGAAATGTGTACAGTTAACAACAAAAATATATCTTTGACCCTTTCACTGCCATTGTGCTTTACACACTGCTACATGTCACAACTATCGCCATACTGAAAAAGGTTTCGTAATTAATTGATTGATTGTAGAATAGTAGCACGTCTAGGACAGTGAAAGGGTTAAGGCTAATGTTCAGTGATAATAGTCTTATTCTATATAACTTAATATTATAGAGCTAGCCATTTTATTTCGAATTTCTAACACACATATTATTTTTTCTTAGCTTTTCTACCCTAGATTATGATAGAATAGAGTATTAAATTCATTACAACAATTTTTTTATTGCTTTTTTCAGAATATTTAAATCAAATGTTCATTGTACCGGGTAATACTTTTTTTAACATATTTTCACACAGTCGCTTGATAATCAAAAAGTATATACATTTTTCGCTTTAATTTCAGAACATGCAGATACTAAAACCTATGACTCTCTAGAACGTAATCAATTAACACTTTAATATAATACAAATAATTATATATTGTAAAATATTGGTTTTATTTTCAAATTTAGATTCCATAATGACAGAAAAATATAAAATGCAACAGGATATTTTTAACATAATAGGTGATTATAAAATTATCAGTTTTTTAATAAACAACTTTCTAAGGCCAATAAGCCCCTTAAAACGTAAATGTAAACAAAAACTACAAAAATATTAGATTGTTACATATCTTAGGTTTTTCAAACACATCTTTAACGATTTCGAAGTGTACTGAATATAATTAGGTTCATCAAGGAATAATAGGTCACAAGAAATTTTGTAAAAGAGAGAATTAATACACATAACAAATTTGATTATTATTAAATTCATTGTGAAGAAAGTATTATTTCAAACGTTACTACTTGCTAGAGATTAATTTTATGATAATAAAACATTTTGCATTGACTTATTAGTCAAAGTAATTTTATTTTTCGAATGACTGTTATAAATTAATATAACAACTGGGTTTACGTAGCTGTATTATATTCTTGTTTCAGGTATCCGTGCTGATAAACCCAAAAGTAATTACAAAGTTATTCAACAGTTAATATTAATACTATGTTTAGCATTAATTAATTGAAACTGTTATGGATAAATAAACAAACCGAGTTTAAATAACTAAATTATTTTTAAAATTATTTTTACAGGTATTCCGGCGGCTAATGATGAAAAACAAAGTATTTACAAAGTTATTCATTAGTAGTATAAAGAACTTATGATTTGATTGAACGATCAAATTTTCTTTCCACATTATTTTTTTACACATTATTGACAATTATGTAAATTTTAAAAGCACATAATTTATTGTTTGGTCAAAGTTATCTCCTTTTTTAGTAACTGTTATGGATCAATGTAATAAAAGGGTTTAAAACGGTATTTTTTTAAAATGTATGTTACAGAAATTCCTATGCCTGCTGATACAACTAAAAGTAATTACAAAGTTAATTACAAAAAATTTAGTAAAGTTTAGTTGGGGAGACTTACTGTTATAATAATTTTAACAACTATTATATTTAGAGTAATTTTTGGAACAGCGTTTATCAATTTTTAACATTTTGCCACAAAATACCATTTTTAACGTAATAGATTGTTGACGTTTTATGTTAGCAAATACTTATGACTCGACAGACAAAATACGATACTAGTTCTTGTTGTTTGATATACTACCAAGAGCTGGTTGAATCATAGTACTCATAGCACTAATAACGCTTCATTTATCATTGTACTCTACGCTAATAATTGACATTGGAAACCCCTCACATTTTACCTTTCCGATAGGAAAGAATGCACTAAAGCGAACAGAGCGGTTTCTGAACCTTCTACTATCTCCTCAAGCGTCTATCAATAGGACCACCTTAGTCCTCTTTATTTTGTTAGCTCATTAGAGGGACTTTTGCAAAAACAAGAAGTTCTTTTTTTTTTGCAGACGACATGATATATATTTTCATTAGTATTGCTTTTTCCGCGGATTATTGAAACCTACAAGCTGAAGTTATTTGATTTCTTGACTGGGCTCATCTCCTTGGTTATTATGAAAATTTTTAGGAGCTATAATTCTCTTCTACGTGGTTTATGTGCTTCGTAGTACATACCTTCGCTATATTTTGTGTATAAATGCTGTAGCTATCAGGACCTTAAGAGCCATCGGCTTAATGCTAATACTATAATTTGAACTATACTGTATAGTTTTTTGTTCATTGTTTAAGATATTATTGTTTGACTGATTATTGCACTTCTATATTATACTTTGTATGCGATATTTTTGTACATTTGTGAAAAAAATGCGTATTAGTGATTTAAATATCAAAATAAAACATAAATACGATTATATTATTAAATACTGTATTATAAACCAGTTTATATATAAATTTGTGCAGGTGATGGAATTTCGAAATGTACCACATTTAATAATGCGAGAAAAATTGTTACGAGCAAACTTTGTTGTAAATATAAACATACAATTTTAAAGTATTACTTTTTACATAATCAATTTATTTGTACTATATTGATAATTTGTGAGTTTTTTTTAGAGATAATTAAATTTTTTTGTGTAACAGTAATACACGTATATTTTAATTTATTTCTTGAGCGGAGGGGGCCTTATCGACTTAAAATCAACACTATATTTGGCATTGATTAATTGAAACTGAGATGAATAAATACAATAGACCGGGTTTAGTTAACTAAAAAATGTTTTAATATTTGTTTTACAGGTACTCCTGCGCATGCTGATGAAAACAAAAGCATTTACAAAGATGATAGTAAATATATAGTATTGCTTGTTTGAAAGATACAATTTGCTTATCAATTTCTTTTGTTCACACAATAATAACTAAAAAGTTAAATTTTAGTTGGGGAGCCTTAATAACCTTTTACCACTATTATATTTCGGGTATTATTTTGAACGGCGTGTATCAATTTTTAAGAATACACTTATGCTCAAGAAGCGGTTTCTGATCCTTGTATTACGACATCAACATTTTTTTAGTATTGTATCAGTGGATGGTTGCCTACTACATATTGAACTTAGTTTTTTTCTGTATTTGGCTCATCTCAACGGTCTGACACTGTATGTTGAAAAATGTCATATTTTGTCATTTTCCTGGAACCGTATTCCGCTACTGCACGACTTCTTTCTTCATGGTATTCAACTCCATCGAGTTTTTTCTATTAATGATCTTAACACCTTATGTACGCCTTCTCTATATTTTAGAGATCACTTAAACGCGGTAGCTAAAAAGGCTTTAAAAGACATAGGTTTTGTGTTAATATTATATTTTGCATTCATTAATTGGCCAAATGATTCTCATTTTTAGAGTTACTGCTATGGATACATACAACATCACGGTTTGACTAACTATATAATTTATTTGTTACAGAAAATGATGTTACAGGTAGTACTATGCATGATGACGAATACAAGAGAATTTACTATGCTACTAGTTAGTATTAATCAGAACTTATGACTTATTTGAAATAGTAATTTTTGCAACCTTACCAAACATAGAACCAGATAAAAATTGAACGAATACATAATACATTTACAGCATACGCGCCTTTTTGCTAAAATCTTATCTCTATTTTATTTGTTCACCCCTTCTAGGCTCCATCAATTTTAGGCTTCATCCTGTTATTCCAGTTATCAAATTTTTGTTCGTTCCTTTCCTCTGATTGTACTAATAAGGGCATTAAATTTTAAAAATAAAACAAATAATTACGAAACTATTAATCTTTTCAAACCAGTTTTTCATATAAATATTTATGCAGGTACCGAAACTAATAATTACCATAATTGTTTGCGTTCCTTCCCACTCTGTTTTTACTTATTAGGGTGTTAAATTAAAAAAATCAAAATACATACGAATATATTATTAAAAATTATATTTTCAAACCAGCTTTTTATACACTTATGCAGATACTGAAACTTCAAAATTGACCGAACTTGGAAAGGCGAGAAGAGGTCTTACTGGAAATGCTATTATAAATGTGCTTACCAAAAAATTAGGTGATTATAAATAAAAAGATTTAATATTATTTATTTTTTTGATAACATTTATTTTTACAGCATGATTTTAAACTCATTTTAAATAACTATTAATACAAAAAAAAAAGCATATATTTTTTTTTAATACTGAGATTTTTTACAATTATACATGTTTTATATAATTGTATTACCTATTTCATTTACGTTTAATAATTTTGTCAAATTAATTAACATCAATTGCACAAATAAAAAAAATAGTGGCTAATAATTGTTAATTTTGGCAATTTTTAGCAACTGTATTCTGTTTTTTTAGCTGATATTATCTCGGTTGACAAGAAGTATTCTGTTTACACATTTAATGTACAATTTTTCAGCTTTCTAAAGAAAATTCTTAAATTTTGGGCAACAAAAAAAACATATTTATAAATTATAAACTCATTTTTATTGAGAGTAAATAATAAACAAAAAAAAATTATAATTTTTTTCAGAAAGCTGAGATTTTTACTATTATACATACTAAATATGTTTGTATAACTTGTTTTATTTACGTTTAGTAATTGTGTCTTGCACTGAAAGGAATATAGTGGCTTATAAGTTAAATTTGGTTATTTTTAACAACTGCTTTTTGATTTTTTAGCTGAAATCAACAAGGAGAAACTAGACAAGGAGAAATCTGCTAATAGGATTTGTACTTTGATAACAATGTGGGTTAGTCTTAAAACTTCTTCAAACACGTCTTATTTTTTAAAGTCATATGATGATGAATGTATGGTAGTACTAAAAGGGGGTGTTGTAAAATACAAACCATCTAGATTTTTTGGCGTATATATGCAAGTAAATGCCTCTAAACAAAAAAAACTAAATGTACAACTACGCGAGGATATCAGTACTCCGCTTGAGTTAAGTATCGAATAATACTAGATATCAATCGTTTATTTATTTTAAAATTATATTTAAATAAATAAATAAAGTTTGCATATTGAACTAAATTAGTTTATTTGAGATATGCTTATTTATTGTTATTATTATGTAGTTTCATTATCATTAGTATTCCCATTATTATCATTATAATTATTAGCCGATTGTCATATGTAAAATAAAATAAATAAATGATAAAATAAACGCGTTTGTTCACGATTTTAAACACATTTGTTGCGAATTATTATTGATATTATGGCGATCAACCTTATCGTGTCTACCCTAATACAACAAAATATTTTTAAGCACATAATTGTCATTAGGTACAATGTTTTTGTTGATATTTGTATATTGACATATGTATTTTTAGCTTCGATGCAAAGCGAGAAGGTATTGGTTTTACTTTGATGTGTTTTTTTTTATCTGTATACACTGTAACTT